CAATGTTCGAATAACATGATTGGCTGATTTAGAATCGGTCTATACAGGATCAGTTATTGGAAAGATCGGAACGTTTGAGCTTTTTAAACTGGTTTGTAATCTAAAAAAAACTGGTTTGTGCTGATGTTCAATTGTAACAATTTAGTTGTTAGTTGCACTTTTGTATGAAGAGTGTAAAAATTGAAGCAAACGCGTGTTTCTAATTAACTTTGTAATACTGCGGTTAAAACCAGTAATTAGTCAAAGGTTTAAGACGTGCGCCGTTGTCCTTTTGTGCTTTGGATCATAATTAGAAGTTTGTGTCAGTTATATCATCACGTTTGCATAATGAAAGTATATATTAAGGCCGCACAATCTGCTTTGTCTATTTTAAGCCTTAATATACTCTTTGAGGTTTCTGTATCATTAGGCATCAAATCAAGTGTAAACAGAATCTGCTACAAATTTGAATTTGGCAGAGCCGCTAGCAAAATAACTGCGGTTGCACATCTGTTTTCCAAACACTTAATTGGCATGAAAAGTTCTCAAGCTTTTTAAGTTTATAGCGAGTGTGAACTTTAGTAATATATCACTAAAAATTATTCGTTACCGTTTTAATTTTAGCTAAAAGTGTGTTGGTAAATGAAAGTCAAAATTCGGGCAATTCGATAGTAAAAGTAAATATTTTGCGTTAGATGTAGTAGTAAATGAACGAAATGAACGGTTTCGGCCATTTGTCCTTATTACATGTTTCATTCGGAAATGTGGTTTGCGAGCTTTCAATCACCATGGTCAATTTTAATAGAGAAATGTGTAATTTGTTCGCCAGAGCAGTGAAAAATTATTTAGTCGACATCATCAATCACCTCGATAATGTACAATGGCGTATCGCATATTTGCATGGAATATCGCATATTTGCTCTTGGTTTGTTTACTTTAAATCAATTGCTAGGACTAACCACAATTCCATTTTTAATCACTGTTCTAGTTTTGCTGTTTTAAAAAATCTTTCAGCTGCTTGAAATAAAGCGGAAAGTTTTCAACTTTCCTGATTTAAATTAAATCGCGAATGAACCCTATATTAAATGTACAAAGTTTATGTCAACAAAAATTTAATCATCGACATTAATTATAACTTGGACATTAGTGATCGATCTACAAATTACTTAGTTTTGGGTATAACACGCAGTTTACCATAATTACGTGTTCACTAATCACTTATATATCCTCCAAGGAGTACCTTTTTTATTCGAATTGTTGTAGCTCATTGAATGTTGTTTTTTTAGTTTTATAGCAGTTTAAGGCTTCTTTACAAAGATTGGTCGTTAAGTGCACGGTCAAATCCATTATTTAGATGTAGGTACTCTTTTGATTATTTGGACCCGAGACGAGACCTACCTGTTTCCTTTGTAAATTCATCATCAAAACAAAATGAGACCAATATACGTTTTAGCAAGAACTAGAAATTCAATCGATAAAACTGTGCGTTTTTTAAAAATAAAATCAACTGCTTCCTTCTTAAAGAGATAAAATAGCTAATAATTTTTAACATTATAGAAACTTACTCAGCAATAAATCATGATATAAAATTTTTAATGGCCAGCGGTATGTTTTTCTTTTCACTTCAATATTATAGTCGTTTATGAACATTATACCCACTTTTATTAAACGAAAATGCAAGATTGTGGAACAGTATCACTCTGGTTTATTCCGAACCGTTAAATTTTACGTTTGTTTCTGAGGCATAAAAGAAAAACAAACGGTGCATTGTATTTATAGATGCATATACGTTGTTATGTGTCTTTTTCAAATAATTGAAACTCAAAAGTAAAAGGTGAGACAAGGTTTTTTATGTAAAGAGGCATTTTGTGAAGTCACCAATATATTTATTTAATGTAAGCCGCTGGAAAAACTTTTTAACACGTAACACAATACGCCACTCTTAGCAAAAACAATGCTCGTATTTAAAAATTAAATTATCCTGGAAATTGCTTAACAAAGTTTTTTTAAAGAGATTTTCTTTTCAAAAATGAGATTAGGTATTAGATGAATTCTAGATGCCACAGGAATACAGAGGAAATCGAATGTCTAGCTGTGATGACACTCTTAAAATAAAAAAAAACATACACAATTTTAAGTCTAGTACACACAAACTCGAATCGAAGTGCATCTCTAACCAATTTATAATGCAAAATCGTGTGTGCACAGTTTGACGTAATAAGATGTAAAGCAAAAATAAAATCTTGTGTTTTTAATTAAATTATTTTTAAAACATTGACGAATGATGGGAATTCTAAAAGTTACGTAGACAGGAAGTTAATAATTAATTTTTAGATCTTTTACATAAATAATATTTGCCTTTCACTTCAAATTTTAAACCGGAGGTTTCCTTGAAATAAATTCTACTTCAATTTAGACGAAATAAATTTTTAATGTGAGGATAAATTTTTCAAAATGTTTAAGTGTACTAGAGCTTTAGTATGGTATGTACTAAAGTAAGGTTCGTAATTTAAATTTCTGGCACGTACTCTTACCTTTGATGTTTGGAGATATCAACATTTGTTTTATAACTCTACAGATCAAACCTAAAATTGTTGAATATAAGTTCCTAAATAAATCTTCTTTGAAAGCCTAGTTAATAATGAGATTGTATTACATACGTCATAAACAATACTGTCATTTCGGGATTAAGAGTGAGGTTGTCGATTTTCCCCTAAATGATTAATAATGATTACGTTTGCCCCTAGAGGTTAACAACGTGGTTAACCAAAGGCCAGATCACATTCATGGGAATAGAATTCGCAAATGACAGATTCAAATGGTTCATCGTTTGCAATATCTTCTAATAGCGGCAATTTTTATCGATGTTATTTTCAGCCAATATCAGCTTTATGAAGATCTCGGCCTGTGTGTTGCACAATTGGAATATGGCGCTTTATCAAATAAAATTTAACCATTTAGTCGTTGACTTTTTCAATAACGATCACGTCGTCCCAAACGCAGCCAACTAGAAGCGATATTTTCTTTATGACGCAAATGTTACATTGTAAACTTATTATATTGGATATGCAAATCGACTAGCATAAAAAATATTGCGGTTTATCGTTTCGCCTTAAAAAATGATTACATTTTATAGTTTCCGAAAAAAATAAGCTAAAGGAAGCATTTTCAACAAAATGGTCTTGGCTGTACGATATTTTGATCTTGCAGATCATCTGATTTGTCACGTGTGAAATATGATTGGCACACAGTTGAATAATTTATCTCACACCTCAGACAGTTTCAATTGGAAGGAGCTTGGGATCACACAGCATACAGACGTAGTGCAAAAATCAGTTTTTGAAATATTCAAAAGTTTTACAAATATTCATCCGTAATGAAATACACACCATAAAGCAAGATGAGAAAGTTCTTATTTTCAATCTTTGTTAATTTGGGATCGTATTTACGTTTGAATCATCTCCTTTTATTTTATTCAAACGTTAATTAAATAATTAGAATTTGGAGAAAATTCAATTTGCAAAATAAAGTAATCTTTGATTTTTTATGATATTCATAGTTTTTAGCTTTATTTGCAAGCAAGTCTAAAAGTAAAACATTTAGAATGTGCATTTATGTTTCCACGGTTAATGTAGTCATGCGTTTATGAAAACGTAAGAAACGTATTCATTTGTGTATTGTATGTTTTGAATAACTGACCAAATTGTTTATTTTCATCTAATACGTGACCGCAAAGACGCTGCACAGAGATTTCATGAGATTCACCATACACCATTTACCAGCGCACTGTCTACGTGCATCACTATTTGTAAATATGAAAATTCTATAACAAAATTGGGTAATTTTCAGACAAATTAACAAATCGTAAACCAATAAAAGTCGCACATTAAAATGCAATAATTAGTTTCTGCTGAAAACGCGCTTATCTCTCTCTACCCCTGTCAAAACTTTCAAAATACTTCGAAATAAAATCACGTTCACTGCAAAATATGATACATAAAAAATGTTATATTTGGTATATTCTGCAAGTAGTTTAAATTACTATAATAAAAAATTCGCATTTTTACTAGAAAGCAAACTTGCATTCATGTTTCACGAAGAAACCAATATTTATTACCAACATATGCAAATTTTCTAGCAAAATAACGGTAAAACATCCAGTACATTCGTGTACGTAATATTAAACTAGAGGAATGAATATAAAGTGGGTTATTATGTTATATCGTGAACAGTGTAAACAGGATTACTTTTTTGAATCAAAACCAGAGTATAATTGTGCTGATTTCGGCGGTTTCTGCTCAAAATCTACTCTTTTCTCGATTTGACTAGATGGATAGTGCATAACTCCTAAAAATAGACGAAAATATCATAAATGTTCGTGCGGTGCATACCATTACAGAGATCAAAACGAACAATTCGATAGATGCTGCATTAAAGAACCAGAATATATTAAAGTTTTTTAGGACAGATAGAGTAGGATTTTGATTCCACACGGCCTCAGGCAGGACTATATTGAGACTCGCTATCATCAACCTAATGCGAAATGAATTCTTACAAAAAAAGGATGTTTGCCTAACGAATGAGTCTGGAATTTTTAGAAATTCAAAATGTGACAGCAGTTTCACTCACTCTTTCAACGATTAAATCCAATTGACAAAAGCAACAGTGTAAATTATGTATTTTTAAATTAAATTATAGATCTCGTACGTTTATCCACTAATTACAGTTCTGTTGTGTTTAATTAATTGTTATGAATACTTATTTTTTAGGCAGCTGCAAAGTTTAATGCTAGTTTGTTACTGTTATATTAGATCTTTGGAAAACTTTAAGGACGTAATGCGGGACATCTAAAAGTTGCATTAATTACGAGTTATTCGGCCATAAAGTGACATCCACTGCGATGATAGTGCCGGTCAGCCACTGAAACAATCATGCTAAAACACAATTCCCAACTAACTCAAACGACTCATTACACTGACCTCTATATAAACCAAAATCTAACCAGCATGTCTCTATTTCAGGGGAACTAGTGGGATTGATATAGATCTGCGGCGAGTTGATATCGACCAATGTCCTTTGCCGAAGGGTAGCACACAGCTCAACATTTTCGCGGCTTCAGACAAATGCAAAAAGCGCACTACTGAAGTAAGTTCTGCAGTTTTATTACCTTTGTACTTTCAGTATTCCAGCCACAACCTCAACACTTTTCCAGCATTTCGTTTAAATTTTTAGTTTTGGAGCTACAGATACGAACAGATGTGTCTATCGATTGACAATAGACTGCGTTTTAAAGACAAAAATTTTAAATGTAGAAAAATAACGAAACCGATAAACATCATGAAGTTGAACAAGCAGCAGCTTTTCTTAGTTATTTTGTCGCTCTACATTATCGTCTAGGTTCACAAATAAAAACTTTTAAAGTTTAATTTGCTTTACCATGTTTAGTCAAAAACCATCTTGGCTTTATTTCTGAAATAAACACTTATAAATACTAATATAAAAAAATCTCAAAATACACAAGGCATGTGGGTTAAAGTTTCGGGCTCAGTTTACGTGACCATGGATCAATATTATTTATCTGATTGTTCTTTTTTTCAGAAGTAGTAAATCTCTTATCAATTATCATTATTCCATTTGATTACTTTTAAACTGAAAATGCGTTTTTAATATTTGCTAGGGAATCGTGCTCGTACACGGAAATATATTATCAATTTTTTATTTCAGGTTTTCATAAAAAATCAATTATGATGCTCAGGTGAGATCAGATCTTCTCGTTTAAGATAGCTACGTGCAATTACGGTTGGGATTTGCTGCATATAAGATGTTTGTTTTATCAAAAAGTAATTTGTGATTTGTTATTTTAGTTAAAATCATTTTAAGGTGACAAAGTAAGAGCGAGCTTTAAAAAGTATGAAAGTACAAAACAACTAGCAAAAAGCCCACTTTAAAATCTTAAAGAAACTAGAGAGTCTAGCAGGTCTGTTGCTTGTGTAATAGCAATAAAATCTTTAAGGTTTTTTATTTTCACAGTACTTGTCTTCTACCAGGTGAATAAAAAGTATGGAACCAAACGTTTTTTGCTTAAACTATTTATTTTTTGAAAAAACTAATTGATGAGTGATAAAGTACTATAAAAATGTGATGATTTAACAAGAATAAAATTTCCTTTTGTTTTTGAGTTCTACAAAAAATTATTTTTTTAAATGGCAACCCACTATAAAATTATTTTTCTCATAAAAGCTATACTCTAAGGATTACAACTATCTGCTTTATATTTAATTTTTTCAAAAAAATTTTTTCACATAAATTCCAATTTTGACAAAAAAAAATCGCATAACTCAAAAACAAAACAAAATTTCGTTCTGAAAATAACATCACATTTCTTATATTACTTTAATTTATATTAATTATTATTTTCTGGAGGCAAATGATTAAAACTAAAACCGCTTGGTTCCATACTTTATATTCACCCTGTATACGTTATCTAAAAACACATGCCTTTTATTTATTATTTATTATTTATTATTTATAGTAATAAACCGAAACTGGACAAATCCTAGATCATGTAAACAAAAATCACTACAAAGCTTTTTATAGAAAGTGTTAACATCTTGGCAAGTTTAGTGCACTATCTATAACATAGTTTCTTCGATAGGGAAAGTTTAAAGGACAGGGTTGCAGAAAATCGTATACAACTAATGAGACAATATTGCAAATAAATTGTACTCTAAGATAAGTCCTTAAGTCCTGCAGAGTTATGTTAGAGTAAATTTGTCTGTGTGTTCCTAATATGTCACTAGCAAAATTTCAAAAGTTTTACGAAATGTGTTCGTGAGAGCAATTTGCATAGCTCGGTAGTTAGTGTGTTTCGGAATAATTCTGCATCTCCGTAAACTAATGTATATAAAGTAACTTTTCATCCTGTTGAGTAGAACAAAATGTTTTAATACAGAAACTAGTTTTTACAGACGATAATCTGTTTTTTTGTAATTTAGATAATTCTATACAGGGTGCGCCAGAACTCACGCCCCAGAGAAAATTTTCAAGTAAGGTAAGATACCAGGAACATGAAAAAAATGTTTAAAAAATTCTATCTGTCAAAAAATTTGACATATATTTTTTGACATTTGACATTTTTTTATGTCTATTTAATGATACTGATGATCTTGTATATGTTTTTCACAATTATTTCGTAAAGGGACAAAAATTTTGCCAATAATAGCCACAAATAACATTGAACAGAGTTACAATTTAGGATACAGCTTCCTTGTTTTCTCTTTTAATAGCCTATAGAAAATAAACTTGGAAAATTATTTTTCCAACAGAAATAAATAGAGTCAAAGTGCAAACTTTAAGCCCTCATAACTTCGAAATTTTTATAGATATTTTTTTTTAACATTTTTTCCATGTTCTTGGTATCTTACCTTATATGACATTTTTCTCTGGGGCGCGAGTTCTGGCGCACCCTGTATAATTCAGATTAATCAAAAATATCCCATAGCCATGTGGATATCCAACAAGAATCCCTAGCAACATCAAAATAGCCAACTAAAATTCATATGAGGGTGTTCTTGGCAGAAAGAGTAAATATTTACTTTTTAAAAGTTTTAGAAACCAAAATGAAATAAAAGGTTGTAATCTCGTGATGATTATGCCTTCAACACAACTTTTATGTAACTCGTCGATCAGTTGGATTTTTAAATAATATTTAAATGAACTATGCACGCACTTGCTGTCAGTTATTTAGAATTGTCTGATCGAAATTCATTCATAGACATGTAAATATCCAACGTCAACTCAATTTTGATTTTTTGGCAAATGTTCAAAGTTATGGCCTGTCTATACTGAAAATATTAAAACCCTAATCTGGGATGACGGAAGCAGGAAGGAGGAAGCTACAAAAATTAAAGTGACTATTAAGATACGTTTCAAAAGATAAAGTCTAAGAAACATGCAACAAGGGAAAGTGTCAGAAATGCTAATATAATCTAAGAAAATTAAAGGAAGGATTTGGGAATTACGGTAGGGAAATGGAGGCGAGTTTCTGCATTTATTATGAAGAAGTCTGTCGAAAATGCAAAGACGTGATCAGTCTGCAACAACAAAGAACAAGCACGTTGCCCGTTTAATAAAAATCTGCCAAACACGATTCGTGTTTTAATTATCCAAAAGGTGCGAAACGAGCTTTGCCATTATTACGGGCCAACGGGTGTTATCTGACTATAAATTGCGTAATATTTTTTGTTCGCAATAATAAACGAGCTTGTAGATTTTGCATAGACACCGACGGTTAATTTTCAATAGTTTCCCTCGACGGCCACCCTTCGGAAATCCGTTTGTTGGCCCATCGGTGGCGGTACTCAGGCTGTCGCTTAATGTAATTGTGCAGTGCCATCGGGAGATTCAGGAATGCGAGGAATATGTTTACTTGCATTAAGGGTATTTCAGATATGTAGATTATTTCCCTTCGTATGTTGTGACAAAGTCGTGACATCGATTAATCACTTTAATTATGTCATTTATCAACTCAAATCACTAACCATTATCTTAACTGTGTGTCGAGGACCTTATTAACGTACCGAACTTGTCACCATAACACAAAGCTCACACATTTTAGTGGAGCACACGATTTTCGGCGCTGAACACCAGTATTGAATTAGTTGGATATGGTATGACTTTCATTGTGCGAACGAAAACTCAGTTGAGGGTATATTGCTTGTATTGTGCCTCGATAAAGAAAAATTTTAGGGAACATAAATGAGCAGTTTAATGAGCCTATCCGCCGTTGCCGTTTTACCGTCGGTCGATTTTTTCACAATCGGTTACGCTTCTGCCACAAAAAAAATATAACTAACTGAGAGAAAATATAAAACTGTCACTGAGCTAAAATCAAATCAAATTTGTAATAATTACGAAACCAATTTAATTTTTTCAACATAATAATTGGCTTTGATGAAATTTAACATGTTTGGGTCAGATTAGTGATAATCCAAAAAGCGGTAATTTTACGACAAAGCCCCGCCAATTTAATTAACTTAATTAAAGGAAAATCAAAGTAAATCATTAAAAAATAAAATCCGCTGACTGGTAATTGATTGGATTACACTACTAAACCATTCGGTTTCAAATGATCAGTTGGCTTGGTAATTGATTAAAGCAGTTATGTAGACATAGTGACGAGAAGATGATTGTTAAGTAAGGAGAGGTAGTAAAGAGTGCAGGCAAATTATTCTCAATCCAATTAACTTGGGATGCCCTTCAGTTTTCAACTGCGTGACTTTTATTTGATTAACAGATTCCCGGATTATGTCCATAGTTTTTACACAACTTTTGTCACAATTAATCCAACGATACGCGATGTCAGTTGTTCATAACAAGCCGATTTTTTTCAGTGTGTTCCACTATCAGGACTGGGCTTCAGGCGCGGAAGTTACAAGTGTATATGCAAACGCGGCTTTTTCTTCCCGGACACCAAAGTGGATAGGCGCTACTATAATGGAACCGTGATCGAAGAGGAATATGAAAAACTGATGTTGGTAAGGATTAAAGCTTTGACCCTGATGGGTATGCCAAACAGACTCATCAATACTGCAAATATTGATATTTATTCACAGTGTGTTTCACTTAATGTGCTTCGTTAGCTGGAAGCAGCATTATGTACAACTCTAGGGAATTGACAATACGATTACTTGCAACGGAGAGACAGTTAAGGCTTAAAAACCCGGATTACTACTACTAATAGGCAATAGTGCGACACAAAAAAGTGAATAAATTTCGGTTTACCACTAAATTGCATATTAATCTGATCAAAGCAAATTGTTTTCCAATTTATGCGCTACGAGAAAATTAACATTATCAATTAAGTTGGAGATATTCTAATTTAATGATAAAGTTCGGAATATCTACCTGCGAAAACCCCCAAAGTTTTTATTTTTAATTCAATCTTGGATGAAAAACTGTGTGCATTAAATAGTGAAATGAAGATTTATTTGTGACCTCTGTCGTTTTATACCGAATCACGTGTGGCAATTAACTCGACAATGGCTCCGATTTCGTTACCTTAACCCAAAAGGGACAAGAATTTCCATTTTTTTCTGTTATTTATGACCCTCGAAGTGTATTTTGATTCAAAGGCAAACTTTATATTAATCCAAGAACGGATGCATAATAAATATGTAAATATTATGAATAATATTGTAGTAAATCTTGGAAGACCAAAGGCTTGTGTAGTTGTGAGATTTATTTTACATTATTTTACGCTAAAGAGTCTGTGTATTATTCAACAGGGTGAAACCAGTCAGTACGCAAAAGCTGGAATTTTCGAGTGTCTTTCATGTCCTGAAGGATGTGAAACCTGTGAGGATGATCGGCCATGTGTAGTTTCTCTCAACTGGGTAATGCGAACGGTCATTCTCGTCCTTTCTTGTGTCATCATCTGCTGTTTACCCATCGTTGTCGTCTTTACCTGGAAATACGGGAATGTGAAGGTAAATACCTCGACTATGCATAATGAAGAGCGAACAAGAACAACAAAAAGTGACGATATTTATCAAAAAAGAGAGCAGTATGAAGTATGATTTATGTGCCTAAAATATAACTTTTTCGCTACTTTAAATCCTCGGAAAAAAATATTTTCAGAGACCATTCTGTAGATTGGCATGCGTCGTCCTGATTCGACACTCATCCCTTGTTAAATTACCTACAATTTATATTATTTTGACCAAGCTGAGCTTCTCCCACACATGATTTAATACAAAAATATCAAAGACTCTTTAATATCCTTCATTGCATTTTTAATAAAGCATTTAGAAGATAATATTTGATTCGTCTACGTTTTATTTAAAAATGTCTGGCGGCAACTTGCTCGTTGATACCATATTATAACGGTGTTGACGAAAATTGTCTTTGCCAGTTTTACGGCACCTAAAAGTTAAAATTTTTCCGATGGTTGTTTTAGGACATCGTTTAATACACTTAAACTTGACCTGAAGAAAGTGTTTGCTTGTTAAAGTTTTACTTCAAAATTTGCTCCTCTAAATTTTCTCTCTGTCAGTTGTTTTTCTAAATAATTTACAGGTTTTCACCTTTTATAAGCTTCGACTTTACCTAAAAGCCAACTTCATCCAATTAAATTAACAGCTGTTTCTCCAAAACATCCTAAATAATTCACATCTAAATTAGGTCTTGCAATTATACATATAATATTGGCAATTAGCAATTACCACAAAGATCGGAAGTTAAAATGCTTTATTGATTCTTTCACAAAATTAACTTTTATTATATTACACTGAGAGTTTTAATGGTGGTGTAGAACGACAATACATTATCAGTGAATTAACTTGCTCCCAGCAAAATTCCATTTAAAACCACTGCAACGGCTTTAACTTTTCAAATTTGGAAATACGTACATACTTTAGGACGAGTCGTCACCCGTGTAAAAACTACACCGATCTGAACGTTTTTAGAAACACAATTTTCCGAATCACATTAGTATAGAAAAAGTTTGCTCGAGTTTTTACAAAGGTTCATTTGAAAACTTTATGTGAAGATTGAAGGGTTCTTCAAATATTCTACTATAGTTAATTTTGTTAAATAAGCTCCAAATTACATTTATTTGGTAAAGTTTTTTAAGAGTGTGAACTGACGTAATATTTGAGTGGATTATACTGCATGCTAGGAGTTTCAAGTTTCAACATTTTTATACTCCAGCTAAATATGAAATTTATGCCAATTTTTGTGTACATGTTCATAAACAAAATTGCTAGGAATATTCGGAAAGCAATCAGCTGTCTCTTGTTAAGTTAAATGTATTTTTATAAACTGTCTTCTTGATAGAAGCATAAATCTTAAATAAATATTTTTTAATCGAGCTTTGCAGTAAATGTCCGTCATTCAAATTAATCGCTTCAGTTAAGTCGAACGGTTCAATTAATAAATCGATCGGTTGACTAAGCATACGCCACATATGAATTACTGTGGATTAAACTTTTTTATTTACTTACTTTACGACTTTGGATTTGGCTTCATGCACTTTTGTACATTAATAATAATTAGCACGAATAAACAAGACTGACGAAGACAGACTTTAAAATATTATACTGTAGCTTTAATCAATTCTGAAGTAAGTAGTAAACAACATCTGCACCCGTGAATTGTACATTTTAATAAGTAGCTTTTCGTGCTACGCAAAGCGAGTAATAATTTATACCTAGCTTGTTAGCCTAAAATAAGAACCAAATTTATTTATAGAATGTCTAAAAAAAATATTTTCCTCCAATAAGTTTCAAAGTTGTGTTAGCACATTACTGGATTGACACATTTTGGTGAAGTCAAGCTTGAAACAGGATATGGAGGGAATTATTCAATGCATTTTATGACGTGTAAACATATCAAATCGATGTGTTGAAAATCCCTAAAAGTTAAATGCGTTCGAATACTTATGTCCGGTTCAGCTTCCTTATCGAGTTATATGGGAACAAAGACCACATTGTTGCCGAACGAAAACTAATTTATTTCAAAGAAAAATTTAAGATGGGTATCTATAAAAGCGCTCGTATGTGTAACAATGGAGCTTTAATCGCTTCTAGTGAAAAAAACATCACTCTGAACATTGCGCTCAAACCATCCTACGAAAATGAATTTAAATTAAAAACTATTGCTTTGCGACTGGTTACAATTTGACTCGGAATTCGTTTGCTGTATATTACATATTTGCTTTCAGTTTTACAATTAAGCAAACCTTCCAGGCTGCTGGTCTATTCGTTCATTTCCATCGATGATCAATTTTACTGCGATCACCGAAACATTATAGAATTTATGTGCCATTTAATAGGTATACTGTTTGAATTATTCTGTTATGTTTTAACGCTAAATAATAATTAATATTATTAAATACATTATTGTGGATCGAGTTATTTCCAAAAATAATGCTATACAATATTGTAAAATAAAATAAACATTATAAAGAAAGCTCCAAGAAAAAATATGTTTATAGCTTAATCAGAAATTCATGCCGTGGGCAACACTGATTTGTCAGTTGTAATAAATGGAAAAAGTTTTTTTTTGGTTTACACCGTGAAATTTAGTAAGCTTCAAACGAAACAAATCAAAAGTCATAAAAAATAAAATAAACACTATTTTTTGTTGTATTTCAGGTGGTACGTGCCGCCAGTCCTGTTCTCTTATGCTTTATAACTTTGGGAGCTTTCCTCATTTATTGTACGGTATGTAACAACATTTCCATCTTATTAAAAGGATACGTAAAAGTTTGATATTTTTTAGATGATTGTGATGTACCCTCGTCCTAATATGTACACGTGTATAGCACGGGTGTGGCTTAGAGAAATTGGCTTTTCATTAACCTACGGAGCTTTGATGCTGAAGACGTGGCGGTGAGTATTTTAATAAAAAGGAACTTTGGCGGTAAGATAGAATGAAACATATAAAAGTTAGAAATATGCTTTCTCTGATGTAGAAATCAAAAAGTTCTAATTAATTAAAAAGATAAAAATATCGACGACCTCAATGGAAATTTCTTTATAAAACAAAAAGTCATATTTTATTTTGAGACAATTTTCAGTTCTTCAGTTCAGTTGACAAGACTTGAAAATAAATGCATTTAAATAACACGCTAATTTATGTATATTAGAAGAAGTTCGTTCCGTTGTGGTGAGACCTTTTCTTATCTTGCAGAATTTCCGTCATCTTCCGTGTTCGTTCAGCTAAGGCCGTCAAGATTACAGACATGAATTTGCTAAAGCGGCTTGGTGTTATAGTTGCTATTTTTACTGTTTTTCTGGCTATTCGAACCCTTGTTGCACCACCAGTCGTCATCGTCGGTCGAACAGCTGATGATCTTAAGGCCTACTTATGCCGCACTGATTGGTGGGACCATTCATTCACGACACGTAAGCTGCACCGATTGGTCCAAATCTCGCATTCCCTCATAACAGTAAAACAAGCAGAAACCTTTATCCAGTTATCACCAATTTTGTTTTTAACATTAACACCGATTTTTTATCGTTTCAGTGGAAGTGATGTTCCTGGTTTGGGGAATCCGACTATGCATCGTCGTACGAAAAGCCCCATCCGAGTTTAATGAAAGTCGCTTCATTTCCATGGCCATTTATAATGAATTCCTACTATCTGTCTTTCTGAATATATCAATGTAAGTATTTACATCAATCAATTCAACAATATTCAATAGACCTAGTGAGTGTTTTCGACATTTGGAATATATTTATTTGTAGATAATGCTTCACACAGGTTGTTGACAAGAAATAAACATTTAAAATTTCATTTATTTCTGTTCATCACACCGATAGCTGAAATTATTTCACAAAAATTGAATCAGCTGTGATATTGGAAATATTTTTTTCTAAAATTCTATAAACGACATCACATTTGATAAAAAAGTAAACTTGTTTATCAAGAAAAAGATTGTAAAATGTTTTCGTTGACTTTCTGTCCCCTGGCAAGTGGCAATTTTACTCTCATAAATTGTTAGGATGATACAAAATTTTTGTGTTGAATCTTATTTAAATTCAGCACATTTCATCATGACAGTTTATTGTGTTTATGTCGACCATCCACGACCAATTTCAGCAGCAGATTTAATTACTTGCTCTGCTTGATATATCGATATCATAGCGCCCTGAAAATTAGTCCATTTTCAGGTCGCTTCACTCGCAATCCTTATATTCATTAGGTCGAAGTTTGTCCGTTGTTGGCTTAATGAATTTAAAAAAGACATTAAGATTCATAAAGTTCTTTTTAATAAATAATAAACGAATGCAAATACAGCCGAAATTTATTTGTGAAGTTTTCACAAATTATTCCGAAAAATATTTTTCGAGTGAACCTATTGTCGCGAGTTAGCCCATTAGTTCATTTAAAATTCGGAAAGTTTACCGCGCTTTACAGATCCCTCTGGATGTCCTGTCGTACCGATTTAGACATGCTGTCCTGGGGATCACTTTACAATCTTATCTCCATATAAATTCACTGATCTGCAAAGTAAAGTCGGTAAAGTTGAGTCTGGAATTTTCAATATTAAATGCAAATACACAATTGCATATGCATGTTTTTTCTTAGTCGTCTCTCATTTGCCCTTTTTTAGTTCTGATATTCCAGAACAATATTCACTTAGGTATGAAGCTCTTTGTTTCACGTCTACCACCAGTAACAAATTAATTACTTTGTTTGGTTGAAATTTACCCTTAAAGAGGCACAATTTTCGCATTTAACACTTCAATACTGTTATAAATAATTCAGAATGATAGCATTATTGTTATTGTTTAGGTTGTTCCTGCAAAAACCTGCTAACCCAGACCTGCTCTACATTATTTTCTTCTGTCATACGCAGCTCACCGTAACATTACTTCTGTGCCTCATATTCGGAAGCAAGGTACGGTATAATATGTTCACCAATTTTGCATTCAAAAATTTTTCTTGTTCTTATATGTAATTAATGTAGTAATGATCTACGACTTGAGCATTTTCACTTGGCTCAGCTGGTATAATAATATAATGAATCTTGTGAGCAGAGTGTTTAATGAATACACTTAACAAGACAACAACCATTAATCTCTAAATACCTGTGCTTGTAAACTAAATACCTAAATTGCATTGAGATGCGTCTAATTATACAATGTATAGCAGGGTCTCAAATTAAATGCTACGGTCAAAATTGCAATGTCCATTCCTAATAAAGTTATGATATAGCAAATAATAAATTTACAAGATAGTATACGTGAAACGATTACTGCATCAAACTTTGCTAATAGTAGTGTCTATAAGCACTTCAATCAAACTAGTGAAAGTTCTGACATATTGGATTCGAACTCCGTCAAAAAGTTTCTCCGTTCTCATACTGCAAAGGATTTCTTTGGTGAACTACAGAGCTTTGAAATCTACAATACATTTAAAGTTGATTAATCAGTTTGCCTTTTCGTGAAGCTCAAACAACTCCAACGAAACTTGTGTAATATATCGAAAATAAACTATATCTTTTCAACATAAAAAAACTAAAGTTTTTTCAAATGTATTTTGAAATTTATTTGCAATGCAATGCAGAAATAGGTATTTGCGCTAATTTTTTCTGTTTTCAAAGCGGAAATTTTTAAGTATCTCTATGCGAGTTTCAATGTTCCAATATAAAATTCTGTCCAGATTATACATACAATGGTTTTTTCAGTATGAATCAAAATATTTTTAAACCGCAAGTCACGTTTATTGAAATTGGTCTTTGACATAAATATTGCATTTCGACAGAAGTCTGCCTTTTATGAATTAAAAATGAAATCTTGTTCGATAAATCTATTCCTGGAATTTTGTTTGGCTTTTTGAAACAAAAAATATCTCTTAAAGTTTGAAATGATTATTTTTACGATTTTTCAGGGATTAATATTAAACAAATAGAAAATCCGACTTTTTTCAAACTCAACTCAATAACGTTTTATGTAAATACCTAGTTTTTTCGAGTTACTAGGATATAAAATATAAAAAAATCATGACCCTACGGTAATATAGACAAAAATCTGTAAATAACGTCTAAACTATAGACAGAAAATTTTCCGGGATACAAAATTGCAATATCTAAATTAATTTGTCTAAGAAGAAAAGAAAAGAAAAAAATATATAAAACAACCTTAATATTCAAACTAAACTTAGAATATCATAAAAATTACCAAAAAAATCTCCCAACAGTGAAAATTGAATTAGAAAGAAACATCAGGAGTTAACAAGCAGTGATGAGGATAACAGTATAATTGCCTCCATTAAGTATCAGTGATTAAATAGCCTGAAACAATATTTTGTTTGTATTTTTTTATTAAAAATGCAAAATTGGTATTAATTCAATTTATTAACAATCTTAGTGTTAAACACGATTGATTTTCTTCTAAAATTGATACCACATTCAGCATATTAGACCACATAGAGATCAAACATTAACAATATCTACATAACGAATGGCTCAAAACGCTTAACTTTTTTAAACTTAAAATTTCAATATTGCCACATAGAGGAAAAAATAAAAGAAAGCATTTCCATAAATGTGTATATTATGCTAGTTCATTTTATAAGTTTATAGAACGGTGTTTTTTAACAAAATTGCCTATTTGATCTGAGTATACTTTCCTTAAACTTTATAGTTGTGTCATGTTCCCGACAAGTCGAAAAAAATCAATATTTCCTCTTAAATAAATTTTGTGTTTCTTTCACAAATTGGACTCATTTGCTCACGTTCACCTTCGTAATTTCTTTTCATATTTTCCAAAATTATTAGCAATAATTTAGAACAGAAAGTACGATTCTCATTAGTGGGTTATTGTGTGATCGGAAGTGGAACAGACGAAGTAATAAATTACTCGCGGCCTATCTACAGCTTGGCTGTTGTCAGTCTACTTCATACGTTCTTTCTGCTCGAAGAAATCACATACAAAATGAAAAAAGTTGGGATTATGGGAGAGATATATTAAAACGCTCCCATGTCGCCGCTCTAATTGAAATTTGATTATTTTTTTATATGAAACATCAATTTCTGCAATGTTCGGCACGACTATACAGGCATAAATATTTTATTAACGTTCCCGAAGCTCTTGCATATGTATTTTACAGAAAGGGAATTAACTCATCCTTATCACTTCATATTACCTTTAATATTTCGCACGTGTCATATTTAGCTTTGTATTATGCTTCTCTACGATCCACAATTCTATTATATTACCTCAACTTTTTATGACATTTCCTTACTTAACCTTTTATGTCGCTCTTTATCTACCGTGACATGAATGTCTGAGTAATGAGCACACCTCTTAATTACATTAAGTTTTTTTTGTCTATTTTGAATATCAAAGTTTGCATTTTGCATTTTGTATTTCTATTTCATGTTAAAGATAATTATATTTGAAGTAACACAATTGTTATTTGTTTGTAGCGTCGGGCTCTCGTAAACATATATCTATATAAAATTTTAATTAGAAACAGCATTTTGAAATAGTAACAATAAAGAAGAGCACCAGATAATTTCAAACTTTGGAACTAGAACACGTTTTACGGCTATAGTTCTGAGTTATTTCATTTTGTTCTTGAGATTTTTTGCAAATTTTAGTTTTAAAAGTAATACAATTTTCGTCTTGGACCTCCAGTTAAACTGATCGCACTGTTGTAAAGCTTGTAAAACCGGTGGAATTTATTGGGTTTGTTATGTCTTGTCTCTGTTAAGTTGTAAAACCGGTTTGCAATCAGATAGAAGTGGGTTTATAGATATAAAAAAAATATTGAAATGTGCGTATTTTGATAGGTTGTATTTTTTTAGGCGTATATGGTGTTTAAGCACCATGACCAAAGCGACGACAGCTCTGGTATGATGTCAAAGACGCCGACTTCAAAATTTCTAGGGAAAGCGCGTGCAGGGAATTCGCAATATACAAGTACGAATTCGTCAGTTGGTGGTTTAGAGTATTCAAAATATTCGGATCAAGATGTCCAGGAAGAATTCTTGCGTTTGTACACGCAGTTGGAGTTGTTGAAAGAAAAAAATATGCGTATTGGGAATAGGCATTTGGCATCTAAGATAACCGCGATGCAGGACGCTGCGAGAAGTCATGATCATGTACAATCGGAAAATCCATCCAGACCCCTTGGGAAATTAAATAATACACTGGATGTAGTTCCAGAGAAATCGGGCAACGGCATAAGTACAGAGGACGACGCACCCGTTAAAATTAAACGTCAAAGTGTTTCATTCGCGTCTGAAACTGAAGCCAGTTGCGATACTACAGTTAAAGATAATAATAGTTGTAGTAGGATTGTTGAAGAAGTGGCGCCAGGAGGTGCAGCCGCATCTATTGAGCTCAAGAGTAAGGATGAAAGAAACGAAAGTCCTGGGACTGACCGAAATGGCAGATATCTCAAGTCTGGTCATGCCAGGACGCATGCTATTGTTATAAATCTTGACGATAAAAGCCGATTCACGGAAGAAGTGACGGTGTAAAATTATCATGAAGTACCTGATAATTAAAGAATATTTATTAATTTTAAGTCACAACAGTTAAAGTAGCTAACATGAGCCCCGTTAGCTGCTATAACCGACTATTTTGAATCCGCGTTTATCAGTTTTATGCTTAGATTTGGTTGTCCTATGTGGATGTGTTGGCCATTCCGCTAAGCTTAACATATCTCTCTACAATAACTGTTATAATTATAAAAATTTTATACCCAAGTCTTTCCGAAGGAAATCGTCATTTCTAGTTAAGATTTATATGTAAATATTATAAAAATGTGTAACATTATTAACATCAGATATATGTATATAGGCATCGATGATTACACAGCAATTGTAAAAAAAATGTATTGTAATATAAGAATAAAAGTAAGCTCCTAGTTGTTGTGTAATCTCGTCATATTAAATAAATGCTCAAAAACAATAGCTTTTCAATTCGCCCTTAATCCGTAACTAATTAAATCACTTCAAACAATAGCCAGATTAGCACCTTTTATATAAATTTTAATAAAACTTTTCTCTTACGGAGTATTTAAATCCTATCAAAAAATTTTAAAAGAGACATTGTTGCGGAATTATCACGAAATAATAACAAAAATAATCACAATTACATGTATTTACATATCTTCAATTGGTAAGCTATATAATTCAATAATAATACTTGATTGAAAACTACACACAATACATAGAAGCATAAAATTGAATCTATTATTAAATCAGTAAATAATTATGACAATGTAATACTTAACAGAGTTATACACAATCACACAGTATTCTAATAAATTACCAAATCTGCTGCAATATAACTTGATTATAAATGACAATACTCAAATTACATTACTACAACAAAACACATGGTGAATTCAACACTTCACAAATAAAACTTTGTTAATTTTGAAATTTTATAAATAACGGATCTACTCGTAAAAAAATTGATATATATTCCTTATTCGTTCTTTGAATATAAAGCGATTAAAAGACTTTTAAATTAAGAATGTGTAGATAATATAAACTACAAATCGCTTCAAGTAAAAGCTTTTAATAGGTATTGGTGATTTTGTTTCGATTGTTTCGAATGTTGCTACATTTTAGACGATTGACAGGTAAGTCATACTTTGTATAAGCAGCTTTTCTACAAGGACTTCAGAGAACACAAGTATAAGTATCTAAATCAATAACGAATACTTAACTGATAAATCTTCTGAATAGAAAAATTAAGAGGTATACTCGCCAGAAGCAGTATTATTTTTTACGTTCAAAGAATTTTATTTTTACTTTAAAATCAATTGCAAAGGTATAAACGATACAACAAAAGATCTCTTTCCGCCATACAATTACATTTGTTAGATGTTCTATTGAAAGATTTCGATTAGTTTTTATTTAGGTATATCGGTAAGTGGTGGCCTCAAAATCGTAAAAGTTTGCTTCAAAATTTACCAGTATTCAAGGTTTAATGAATCCCTACCGTTTAGGCTTGTGAGTGTTATTCGGAAGTTAATGTTGGCAGCAAAAGTAGATCATTAGAATTAAATTTACTGACTAGTCAAGTTTTGGTCTGTTGGCTTGCGATAGAGATGACCAGGTAAAGTGTGGGTTTCTACATTTGTTACCATAAAGAAAATCTGATGTATTGTACCAAATTAACAAAAGTGTTTTGTTTTCAAAATAATTTGAAAAATCTGCAAGTGTTTATTTATATTTGGCAAATACTTTCACGAGACATCTTTGTTAAATTTACAAAACATCAATTAGACGAAAGCGGGAAACAAACAAGAGAACGTTTCGGCTTTAAATTAATAAAATAGCTGGAATATTTGAAATTAAACGTTAAAACACAGTATGTTGAGAGATGAATGAGTTGTGTATGCTGCGGTATGAAGTAACTTTACTCGACCGGAATTTTAATAATTTTAAATCTCCACTGCGAACGATTCGAAAGGAACTAAAAAACACCCAATGCAAAATAGGTCGCATATTGAGCGTACCTTAACCCAGAACATGTCAACTATGGCGTGCTTAAATTTGTTTCAGAGCAGTTTTCATTCAGTTTCCAAACAAATTTAACTTTAACTTCCCCTTTTACGCTTTTATTAGGAAATGTCCAGATGTAATTTATTTTAAATTGATGGTTTTCTTTTTGAAGTTTTTTCAACTAATTTGTTGAATATAAGATTGAAACTAGTCACTTGAGCAAAGTTTGGAAACAAAAGCTATGAACATTTTAAGCCTAGAAAATTTGTGTAATCCGGATTGTAAGCTCACAATAATAATGACTTATTTGCAGTAACTTTACATTCATTTACATAATCTGCATATTTACAGATATTAATTTTAATAGCGTTCTTATTCCAGAAATTTTATCTTGTAGGAAAATTCATATCAAAAACGAATTTCCATATTTAAATAAGTGAAACGATTATAAAACTTTTCATAGGAAAGATGAGATAGTAGAAAATTTCTTCACTGCCGGCAACAACTTCTTACAGCCGAGAGCAATTTTAAATAGAACACTGAAACGGATTTTAAAGAGTGTAAATCGTTTTTTTATTTTTCTCGGACGTTATTGTTTAAAAAAAAAGTGTTTGAGCGTTTAAAAAGTACGAAATAGCTTGCAAAACTCACAGCGCTGCTACAACAAATACCCGGTATAATTGGCTAATAGTTGAGTGTTTACACATCAATTAAAATGTTTTACATTTCGTTAACTAAGTTAATCAAGATATAAACCTTTGTTCAGTACTCACACAGCAACAACTACAAGTAAGTGTTACAGTTTTGTGGAATTTTTGTCGAAATGAGACGTGTAAGTAAATTGACATTAAGCAAATGTGAAAACATCTATTTAGTTGGATTTTAAATTTATAAAGTGAACTTTGATTCAAGGTCTAAGAGCGGCACGAATAATTTGTTTACAGTTTGACTTCTTGTCCTTTACATTCGCTCTTAAAAAATATGCAAATAAAGTAAGCGAATCGCCTGATCAACCATTCTTACAGTAAAACATTTGCAAAATTGACTTCCACCAAATCTTTCCAATAGTTTGCTCCATGTAAAACCAAAACCAAAGTGTTCTGCCCTCTCTATTAAACATACGGTTTCCATGATTTATTAGCTACGTAACAATGTGCAGTAAAATGGTTTGTTATCAAACAATAGGTTTGCTCATCAATTTGTTTGTATAACCTCCACAGAGTGCGGAGTTTTATTTCCGGTCCACTGTTGTTAGATGACTGAGGTAAAGTTTTTTTAGTTTCTCTACTTACAAAATTCTTTCCACTTTTAAACATACATTTGGGAGCAAAGTTAAGGAAGAATAAGTGGGAATATCAACCTGAAATTTATGCGCAGTTAGAGAAACAGCGAAGATACATTTATATTCCCTAGCGTACGAAACTATAGTAATATTATTATGATAAAATTGTTGATAGGTATTATGAGCAACCCTGCAAACAGTATTCTCATAAGTTTGCCACTTGTCTGCTACCTGCGATCCACATTTTTATTAAATGGTTTTTGAAATTTATTATTTGGGTAAAATGTTTCTCGTTTCGTCTCCTCTTGAAAATACTAAGAATAATACAACGAGGTCATCTCTTATTTGCATTCGTACTCATGAAATTGATAACTTTGGCCTACTTTTATTTAGCAATTCATATCATTATGTCAAAAAATTTGTTTATAATGACCACTTTCCCCATTGTGAAACTAGGAAAATTGCTTCTATTATAGACTCAATTATGACGTATCTCTGTAACCTACTAAAAAAAATAAATACGTTAAATTGACGCTTCTGTCTTTTGAATTAATTCCATTCGATAAAATTGAAATTTTACGATACTGTAGGTGGTTTATGCTAAAGAAATCACACACTGGTCTCTAGACGGTACAAGTCTTACAAAACTTTCCTCGAGAGTAGAATTTAAATGAAATGTTTCCACTATTTAGTGTGTGCTGCGATTTCAACAGGACTCTGTAGATTTAATTCTTCGTTAAGTTTTGTGGGTATACGTTATCGCACAAAATGCAGACGCTGCGGCTAATACGGGATGCATAATTTTCTAAATATAATAGGTAACCTCAACTCGCGATTTTCCTGATTCTGTTTATCATTTATGGAGTTAAAAGAGAGGATTGGTTTGATAAAGTGTGATTTTGGTGTTGTGTCTCATAATGTTAGAGATGTTTAACCTTAATTTCCTCGAAGCATTAGTTTTGGGTAAGTAAGTAGTTCCAAAGCTAGGGAATAACCCAATTAGAAGTTGTCTTTAATAAATCCATTCACAAGAGTAGAAAATTTTAATTAACACAAAGCTATGAGAATATTGAGAATAGTGTGAATAATATTCGCTTGTTTACTTACAAAGATAATATTCGAATCGTGTATTTAAGAAGGCTGAATAGCGAGCCGTTTTTTACATTAAAAACAGAACGAATACTCAGTCAGTAGTTCAATATATTATTGTCTAGTGCATGAATATTCATGAAGTTCTCCGTCCTTTCAGTTAATACATGAGCAAGCGTGAATTATAGTGAATTTCGTTAAGCATTTCCTTGATACTAAATAATAAAACAGCAAAAACGTGCGCTATCGAAATCACCGATGTAAGTAATTTTATTAGTATGTACAATAAGTCTCTACATTATCTTGACGTGATAAAATCGTAATCGGAGTAACAACTACATATCAATAAACACTTCACAATTGATAACACTATAATAACAACTTCATATAGTCTAGTATGTGATAATGTTCGTTGGCAAAATGATGTGAATTTTTTATCACTTTTTCATGCAACAGATGTACGGTTACCTACTTACAAATCGAGAAACTTGATTAAGAATCCTGCACAAGAGGAAATTTCACAAACTGTGACCTGTAATCGGAAAGAGCGCGTGTTTAGAATTCTTTTCGAACGTTGCTGGCTGTTACAGTCTACTCTTCTCAGTTGGAGTAATCAATAAATTTTGTGTTGCTTCTATTCCACTCTAGATGGCGAACAGAATGCAAAATACGAAATTCGTTATTTAAATCGTCAAATTTCAATTTTGAATTTTCACTTTCAACGGAAATATTTCCCTAAATAATTAAATAAATAAATGTTTTATTATTATTAATCGTGGTCTGAATCTTTAGCATCATCATAATTCAAAGGCAAATTATAAATCATATTGTCGGCTCTTATAGTGAGAAATAATGCAGAAACAATGTTCCTGGGGATAGTGAATTGACAGATCATTAATAACTTTAGGGCCATAACTTTAACATACATGCTAGGGTGATACATCCACATTGTTTCAAAATTAAACATATAGAGTAAAAGTTCACTCAAATGAAAATCTGATGATTGGTTTATTAAGAATTTACCTTTCTCATTAATTTTATGATAGTTATGAGATAAGGTAAGTTGATTAAGTGTAGATCACGTGAACCTCTTGAAAATGTATGTGATTTATGTTATTAGTGCGGAGTTACCCTGTTCCAAACTCACTGTCACGATGAATACTGAAGCTGGGGTTCCCGATGGAGGATGGGGGTGGGTAGTTGTTGCTGGAACTGCGATAATTAATGTAAGTTGGAAACCTACAATTTTTTAGTCCTTTATTTTATCCGCTCTCTCCAAAAAAATGGTATTATTACACTCTCTCTAAGCTATGTAGGGTGGAAGTCTGCCCTGATATCTTTATTAGAGATAGGGTTAATTTAGCCAGGCGAGAGGTTTTAAATGACCAGAAAACTTTATTCACTCTCGTTAATAAATAGAAAATTTAGGTATTTTTAACAGAAAAAAATTATCTTCATTATTCGATAACTAACAATAGAAATGCTATTTATACCACATATCTTAAATCAGTTTGGTAATGCTGTCACAAAAATTAAAACAAATTTAATGTGATTGGGTAAAGATGAATTTTGCGTTTTAATTATTTTAATTTTTAAACTCCAATCAATTTTTAATTGCAACAGTCGATTTTAACATTAAAAACACAAATTAAATATATGCAAATTGAGCTCTGTTTTTTTTTATATCTACCTAAGCAAATGGAACGGTAATAATGTAACAATGATTTTTTAGCAAAAGCTGTTTAACAACCACAATGTACATTTATTAAATAAAATATGGATAGGATGTTTGCATGAAATTATAGTAAATATTTTAGTTTGTTTAATAGTATAATGTAAAACAGATTTTTGTTTATTGAAACATTGACTATTATTTAGTAAAAAGTGTTGTTAAAATGTTATTACGCTAATTCCGAGTTGTGCAGTCTATTTTTTGAAATACATCACCATGATAGGAGAAAGATTCTATCCATCACTCATACTTCGTAACAGGATGTAGGGATTCTGTAGAACAAGTGTTTGAATATGTTATGCAAAACACGATAAGTGAGTCCATAAAAAATAAAAATTTTATTTTAAAGTTGAGATCTCCTTGAGATTCAGTAAAACTCTGACACATTTTCACACAAGTGTTTACCAGGTACGAGTGTTCTTTCAATTTCTCACTAACCATGTTTGCTTTCTTATTTTTGCGAGATTTACTAGAACAGATCATGAATTAATGTGTTTTAGGTAGTTAATCAATCACTGTTGTCTATGTTTGGTTTAATTTTTGGTCCGAAATTGGAAATGATGGCCGGAACGACTGGAGTTACAACTGTGATGAGTCTGAACTGTACCATCAGTAATTTTTCCGGATTTCTAATAAGTCCTCTTTCTAAATATTTTAGTACAAAACAGATAACTCAAATTGGAGTATTGCTAGTTTCAGCAGGATTGGCCTTCTCAACATATACAAAAAGTTACATGAGAATAACAATAGGATATGGCGTGCTAACAGGTAATTAACAGAAAAGTTTTTTACGAAAAATGTTGATGTGCTTAAGTTCGTTAGTCATTTGTGTTTTCTTTTTGAAGTTTTACCGTAACATCCCTGAAAATGTTCTTATGTGTCTTGAAGTTTCTTAATACTTAATAATGAGAAGTATTGTTTCATTCAAAGCGCGCTGTTAATCCTTCTTAACAATTGAACATAGTTGAGCTCTATATAATCAGTCTGGCATGTTTTCACTTGTTCAATTGAAGCATTAAAATTATTTCGGTAAAGGTATCTCTGTGAAAATTGCATCTGATACTGCATACAAATTATAATTAACACATTGTTTTAACTTTTGCAAATATCACACTAATTAGGATACTAATTTAATTCAGTTATACATTCAAACTCACTTTGCTTTTGACTTCGGACGGTCTTTTCTAATATCTAGTTACTGAAATATCTATTTCACTACATTATACTTTTGAGTCTTTTTGATTTAATGCGATCGTCAAAATTAGATAACGTTTATAACAGTTTTAAAAACAGTTTTATGATATTGTTACAGGTTTAGGATTAGGATTAATAGCCTCGTCGACGTTTCTAATTATCAATTCTTATTTTGATAAAAATAAAAGTCAAGCTGTTGGCTTGTCTATGGCGGGAACAAGTATAGGTCAAATGGGAATGCCTCCAATAGTGGCTCTCCTTATTCAACATTACGGTTATGATGGCACAATATTAATTTTATCGGGTCTTAGCTTACACGGTTTGATCGGATCATTGTTTTTTGATGTAAGTAGAGTCGAATTAATATATTTATTTTGTTGACTTCGACTATTGATAGCCTGTTAGTGAACACATGTTGCCAAGGAGTAGACAGAGAACAAAAGGCTTCTTTTCACGATTTCGCGACTGGTTTAGTTGTCGCAGAAACCAAAAGAAAGTAGTCATAGAAAATAATTTTTCTCCCGAAAGGACTGATCCTGAACTAACAAATAAGTGTGCTAATAATAACATTGATAGAGAAGCTAATTTAACTAAACTTGAAGCAGGAAACAAGGAATCTGTGATCTCTAATGAATGCACGATTAAAAATGAAACGATTGCTGATATTATCAATAAAAGTCGCAAAGGTGAAGATTTACAAACCGAGACTGACAAATTTGAATTTTCTGCATCTGACAACGAAAACAACGACCGAGAAGAAGAGGAAAGGATGTTACGTAAGCTCTTGTTTTATTTACGTTAAAAATTACAAGGCTCGTATTTTACTAATTGAAGTTTCTGAAAAATTTACTCTTAAAAGTTGATTTTTTACCAGAAAAATGATACCTGAAAGAAAATCTGTTGGTGAGCTGTTGAAATATTCAAAGCTCAGCTAATAAAAAATATTCATGAAAACCCTGCATAAAAAAGGTGGTAAACCTGCTCCATTACTGGAAGCCGTACTCACATGCCATGTATTCTATTAAGTTTAAATCAGTTGTAAATGGCAAAATCTTTCTTTAATGCACTTTTATGCTTAATTGCCACACTATAATAATGATCTTATCTATTTAAACTAAATTAAATTAAATTATTTTTTCGGGTGAATATGAATGAAGCCAAAAGACTTGAATTAAACTCATATTTTCAGTTATTACGAATTGGATTTAATCACATTATAAGTTAGCTTTTAGTATAAGCGAAGAGAGATCTTATTTCGTTTGTTAATAAAATAGGGGTATAGTGGTTTAAAAGAAAAAGTTTCTCTCATAAAGAACTCCTCTCACATTTAAAGCCATTGTTTACAAGAACTATAAATTTCGTCAAATTATTGAGCTAGATTTTACTTGTTTTGTATTCTGCTCTTTCAAGACATTCGCAACGCTTTTTCACTATAAATTTTCATACATGCATTGCGAAAGTTAATTTCGAGAGCGTGGAATGGATCTCCATCAAACTATTTATGACACTTTTTAATCATTTAAAAATTAATGTATGTTTAATTTTAGCTCCGGAAACGACTGCTTCACAAAAAGAAGAGAAAATCAGTAAGGATGAACCGCAAACTTGCTACCAAAAACTCGTCGAACTTTTTGATCTTCACATTTTACTAGATCCAATTTTTGTTCATATTATGATCGGCCTTTCTTTTGCCTATACAACCAGTATATCGTTTAGTACGTTTTTTCCTCTATTTTTGAGAGAAGATCTTGACATGACTATCATCGATGTGTCTACTTGTATGTCAGTACTATCATTTATGGATTTTATAGGACGAGTTATAGTTCCTTTAATTACGAAACGAATGGAAATCACCCATCGGATGATCTTTATCATAGGATCATTTCTTTTGGCTATTTGTAGATCTAGTACGATTTATTTATTTACATATTTTATGAGCTAAACTTTCTAGTCAGAATAATTATACTATTTCTACGATGAACTAATTTTTGACTATAAAGTTTTTGCCGATTTAATAACATTATTACAAAAATTAGTGGCAACTACAAAAATATTTGTTTTAGTATTGGCAATACAGACAACATATAGCATGCTAATTTTACTCTCTGCTATATGTGGATTAGCTAGAGCTGCCACAGTTATTAACCAAAATCTTGTCATTGCCGAATACTCTAAAGAGGGACAGATTTCATCAGCTGTGGGCCTTAATATGGTGTGCAAAGGAATATTTGTATTAACTATTGGTAGAATGCTAGGTAAGTTTTTGTTTTGTGAGATTACAGATTTTGATTAACTTGAACTTTACCTAAATGATATCTCATGAAATTTGTTCTTTATAATCAAAGTCAAAAGCAATTACTTGGATAAGTCCAGTTAGCGTTAGTTGAAACTAAAGTAAATAAACTTGTTAACTTTTTTTCAGGCACTTACAAAGATTCAGCTCACAATTTTAGTAGTTGTATTCATATTTTAAATATAATTTCTGGTGGAGTGGTAGTTTCTTGGACACTCGAACTTCTTATTCTAAAACTCTGTAAGAAGAAAAATGCTACGTGATTGCAGTAGTTTTTTTTTAGTTCCATTCAGTATTGTGGTTATGCATAGTACTTAAAACGTTGTTTGAATCTGTACATGTATGCTGTTATTAAAGATTTATTTACAAATATTTTTTGTTTACTTTACACACGTATGTGTCATTTCAAGTTTAGAGCGTTTATCTATTTACATATGAAACTATTTACTTTTCACTGAATAACGCATTAGTAATCTCATTTGCAATTATCTAGAACGTGTAATATTAGTTAAAACAGATTTGGACTTGTTTGGTTTGTTACAAATATTAATGAGACACTATTAAAATCTCTGAATCAACTTGAAAACAACTATTGATAGATAGATAGAATTTGTCTTTGTGGAAGTATAACTTAAAAATAAAAGTTCAGATTAAAACCGGTTTGGACAGGACAGAAATATACTGCAGATGATGTCTCCAAACTTTTGTAATACGGAACAGGCTAGAAATTTTTTATCAAAAATTTAGATACATATTCTCTCAGGCAATCAGAAAAAAAAACGGACGTACACAAATACACAATATATGTTATTAAAATATATGAAATGAGATTTTTTTCTATTAATGTTATCAAAAGGCATTTGAGGGGTTATACAGCATTACTATAATTAATTTCAGACTTAACTCGTAACGAAATACCATCTATTCGAATAATGTGTTATAAATAGCGGTTATCGGAACGAGCCAAAGGCAGTTGATGATTTTTGACACTTTTAACATATCTTGAAACACGTTTCTTAATATTACAGCTTTAAAATATTACCACGGGTGAAAAAGAGCTTGAAAATGGATGAAAATAAATTTTATGTGTTAAAAGTGAACTTGCAGTAAGAAAAATGTTACACATATAAAGAAACATTTTGAACAACTACAAGATTGATATTTTTTGGCGATTTGTCTCTCTTTTTTCCCCTCTCTTAATGGGAATGTCTGCTAAATATATATATATATATGCTGCCAAATGTCTTCTAAATTGATTCATTGTGAAAATATCTTTATAATACTATTATTTATTATTTTTTATACCTTTATGTCATAGTTTACTGTGCAAGTACAATTGTATTTTATAAATAAATTAAAAGTAAACAAGAAAATTTATTCAGGTAATTGCATGAAATATGAACTAAAAATTCGATTTGTTGTTTCGGTATAATCGCGCTGGGAAAAAATGATAGCTGAACAATTACAAAAATGGTGAAATTAATGTTTCGTAAACTGCATTCACTGACTGCAAACTGAGGTGTAAATAATAAACAAAACTTTGAGTTAAGGTTGGGTCTGTTTCATTTTGAGCAAAAATTAAGCAAGTTTGAGTTTCTATTTGTGAATGTGATTTGTCAATTAAATAGAGTTAGGTTTCCTTGTCGTTACGTTGATCTCATAAATTTGAAAGGTGGTAACGGTTCTGAGGTTTAGCCTGTTAGCTAAGTTTCTGCATCATGTATTAAATTTGGTTAAATCTAAAAAGTTCCTGTGAACTCAATATGTTGATGTCCGCTGTTTATTTAGATGCAAACTAAGTTTAACAAGTTTTGTTTCAGTTTATTGAGACAGATATTATTTGAGAGTAAAAGGGAGAGTTAATTGATAATTTACTAAAATATTCTAATATTAATTAAGTTGCAACTGATTTACCTACTAGTTTTATTTATTTTTCACAAGTTGGAAAAGTTGCATTAATTGATGAATTGAACTACGCAAACATCATTTAATTCAGGCTGCATTTAGATAAATTATTTATCTTAGTTGACACTACTTGGCTCAACAACAGTCTACATAATGCTCTGAAGTATAAGCTTCTCAGCGCGTTATAAAAACTTATCTCAATCTCCGCGAGGGTGCTAATTTAAGAACATTATTCATATAAACTTCCTATTTTGAGGTAAAATTTGATAAAATATTGCTGATATTGAGTATGCGGGAGAGGGGCTGCTTCGAAGGAGATGCAACAGAGTTATTGTGATTATGATGTAAGGGTTGCGGGCAAAAGGATTTTAATGACGATATAAAAAAGAACAAAATTTAGGGGCATGTTATTTATCTGCAAAATAGGAGTGCAAATCCGATTTATTAGAATGTTGAAAACAAACGCTAATTGTGTTTACTGCTCAAGGCTTGTATGTATATATTCTCGAGATTGGAGGAGAGCTCTCGCACGCGAGATGCATCTCTAAACAGAAAACTGGGCTGTTCACGTTCATTTACAATACAAGTCGCAATTTTTCTTTTACTAATTCCGGAGTTTGTATTCTCAAACAACTCGCTTCTGTAGTGAGATTAGGCAACTTATGTGGACACTCCGGCGTCTTTGCCACCATCATATTTTATATAAGCGCCACCTGAAAGCAATTTTCTTCCACATATGCACGTCGTAGAGGATACCGTTTTCTACCTCGTTTATTTCGAACAATACTACAACATAAATTTAATTATTTTTAGCGAGCAATTTGCGTGCTAAACTCTGCAACTAGATTTATTTTTAAACTAGTCTCCGAAACAATTGAAACCCAAATTTAATACTTCAGCTTCCTTTCATTATAAAAATTTGTTTATCCTTTTTTTAGCCAAGAATTCTGCATATTATAATGCGTAGCTACACGAGAAATATAAAATATTACGAAATAAGTACTTACTTCAGCCTTGATATTGCACCACACAAAGAACGATACACAATGTAAACTTTTTACCAAAACAAAATTGTATTTTCGTGATACCAGCACCAGCGATGAGGAGGAAACATTAAAACTTTATACAGACCTTTATTAGCGAGGAAAATTTGATCATTTTATAAATATTAATGTCATTTGCCTATACGACACACTTTATCGTACCAACGTAATTTCAAACTTCGTCTCATCTGTTTTAAGAAAAGTCGCGCCATCCAATTTATCTCCTAGTTCTGCTTACTTGCAATCCCGTATTGATTTTAAGAATTAATGTGCTTAACTTCTCGCACTGCATAAACTACACAGTTAAATATCATCCTTTAATACTTAACGGCAATTACAACGTCAATATAATTTTAACGCAGCGATTTCAGAATAAATTCTAAACACTCTTCTCCTCAATTAAAAAGCTTTTTACTCTGGCAATGTTCCAAATTCGGTCATGCCACATAACTCTTAACTGATTGATTCTTAATCAAACGCTTGGTTATAATCGTTTCTCTCCTCTATTTCCTTTTTATAATGTCACTAAAATAAGACGACTTTCCGAAAACCATTAACTCCGATGCGCATGCCAAAATAATAACTCAATTAATTATTTCTCTCGTTTTTTGACAATTGACACTTTAATTAACAACTCTGAATTGTTTCATATTTTTATTCTTCACACAAAATATTGCTACTTTTTTACTTAATCAGCAATATAGAATTAGGTACAAGTAATACTAAATGTAACGAGCAATTACATCAGACGCAACATTATTAAACAAGTAGTTAGAATAATATATAGTTAATTAAAAACATTTCAATGAGCGAATGAAATTGTAATAAATAGAATTTATCTTACATTAAAATATAGAACAATGGGTGCTAACAAAGCAGTCAATATTTTGTTACGAACAGGTTTTGTTTTAATTTAAAGAAAGTTTTCTCTTGATGTGAAGTAAAACACTTTACATGTAGAGATTTTATATCAGCAGGTTTTAAATATTCAAATGAAGTAGTGGTGTTTCTGCGTATATGTGTTTACAAATAAAAGAAGATATCCAATTTAATTTGTGTTTAACCTGGGAAAATAGCTACGGAAATGTCGGAAACATTTAAACGTGCGCTTAATGAAAATAATTGTGCTTGTATTTTGTCTGCATTTGCTTGATTTAAATACACATCGAAGATTAATTTATTTTCTGTTTATGAAAACTTGTTTTATTTTTATGTATGAGTGGAAATTGTAATTGTGCTTTTTGAAATATTGCTTGGAAATTGCTAAAAACAATGGCAAAGTTTTAAAAGTTGTCTATGGTAAGTTGGCGACATTTCGTTTAGGCCCTATGGGCTATTTTAGTATTTTAGTATCGAAACCATTCTTTGTCGCAAATTATTTCAAAGCTTTTTACAGACTTTTATCTAATGGTTTAAAATACTTTGAATATTGATGACAAAATTACGAACTACTCTAAAAAGTTGAGAACAGTTAAAACCCCATAAAAAAACTTAACGGATTAACCAAGAAAATTAACTGGACATCATAGAGATTAACGCGGTAAATAAATTTAATTAATGAAACGCGAACATTTTCCGGGCTGTTTTGATGAAAGTACTAATAATTTATGACTTCTTATACATTCATTTAATATAATTAACGAGTTTCATGAAAATGCATCACTTTTAAACCGTTTTATTTATAGTTAATTATAAACAAATGAACACGATTTAATTAAAACAGACTTTTGAACAAATACTAAATTTAAATTATGTGTTCACGTATTGTTAAAGAGCGGAGCAACTTTATCTCGGTTTGCGTCTTTAAAACGTGAAAACCTTTTATATTTTATCACAACAAAATGTAATCACAAAAAATGTAAAAAGTATGACATAGGTTAAGTGGTACACAGCATGCAATTGCGTCAAAATAGGTCAAGCCAAAAAAATAACTACCACATCCCTGTTCAAATCAGACAGATAAAGCGCTAATATTCACTTTCCTACTCTCGCTCTACTCTACACAGTAGTTTATTTTTATCGAACAGAGGACAACGATCCCTATTTTCCGATAAACTTATTTTTTTTATTATAAAAGAAGTTGCCCCAAACTTTGTTAACTTTATACGCCTTTATCAGAATTTTGATGAGTTTTTATTGTTTTATCAAAATTATTGCTAATTATAATAACATTAACACCAACTAAGAATTTGTTTCATGAGATTGCTTAGTACTGCAGCTTTATTCATTTAATGGTAGATTAAATTTATTGGCGGCACAAAGTTTGTTTCACTTCCACTGTCTCATTTTTTATTATCGATCAATATTATAATACCAGTGTACACACGCTCGATGACTTAAAAGGACAACTTTTGAACAAAGTTTTATTCAGATTGACGGCTATGGTCGTTGTCGCCTTTAACCAGCAAATTGGGGAAAAATTTCAAAAGAACATGTGTTGTTTTAACTAGACGTAACATTATCTACATAGTGATAGTTTTTTAAATATATATTTTATTGATAAGTGATAGATAATACAGGGTGTGTCAGAACTCGCGCCCCAAAGAAAAATTTTAAGTAAAATAAGATAGCAGGACATGGAAACAATAACAATGAACAGAGTTACAATTTAGTATGCAGCTTCCTTTTTTCCTCTTCTAATAGCCAGTAGTAAAAAAACTTGGAAAATTATTTTTACAACAGAAAGAAATAGTCAAAAAACTAAATTTAAACTCTCATAACTTCGAAATTTGTATGGATAGAATTTTTTTAAATTTTCTCCATCTTCCTGTTATTGTACCTTACATGGCATTTTTCTCTGGGGCGCGAGTTCTGGCGCATTCTGTATACTAAAATGGGTCTATGAATGCTGCTGGCTGTCAAAATTTCAAAAGCCATATTTGCTCTGTATTCAAATTAAAATTATTGAAATGCATACTTTTTTTTGTGGAGTGCCGCCACTAGCTTTTTTATTGGAACATTTAATTAATAATAGTAACGTTGAAAGCTGTGCTCTGTTTATATTTTACGCTTTTATGTAGGTACATTGCCGTCTATTGTAACTTATTGGTTTGATTATATTATTTTATAATAAAAAATGAGGTTTTGACAGATTTATTTAGTGAACGGTCACTTACCTTTTGTAGTATCGAAGTTTGCAGACGGTGTTTTTTGACAAGAGGATCGATATTCTAAGTTTGTGATCGTGATTCGGTTGTGTTTTAAGTGGGTATTTCAGCTGGTGAATGTTGTAAAGTGAGTTAGTTTTAGGTAGAATGTGCGTGTAGTGCGTTGTGTTGTCGAGAAACTTTTAATAAAATTAGCGTTGGTGTAAAAGCTAGATCGTCAAGTTTAAATGTTTGGCCAAGCTGTCAGTTGTAAAAATAAGAATTTATTGTTTTAGAGTAAAGAAAATAGTGGGTAAATTGGTCTGAATCTTATATATTTATGGGGTTGGTTGAGAATTCAGAAAAGTGTTCAGATCCCAGGTGTTATCATACTGGAGAGCCGCCAGCACGGCCGCTAGCCGCAGTCACACGTCCTATTCAGCACACATTTCGGAGTAAATGTAGCTGAGAAATTGGTAAAGAACGACCCATCTTTATAGATCACGGAGCTATTGTTCGGGGCCCTGCAGCCAGCGAGGTTTGCCGATTAACGATTAATGTATTGAGACACGCGGCATTGTCACGGACTTTCTCCGTCAATGAATGAGCCGCTATTAAATATGGCGAGTTGAAAAGCGGGAATTGTCATCTTGATATACGCCGCATTATGCACGCCCAAACCGGGCTCATTGTCCATGTTCCGTTCTTCTGTCATTCCATCTTCCTGGCCAATTACAGATTCTTCAAAATGTGATGTTTTCGTCGTTACTTACTTCCCAATCTTTCACGACCCTATTGATAACAACTATGCTTTCCAGTCACGCCATAAACCAACCCAATCAAGAATGGCCCTCCCACCATGAGATAAGTAAGTATATATATATATATTTGCATTTGATACACACTGAGTTTATGAAAAAGAGATACGTCAAAATAAAGTTACGTTACTACGGATATATCTATCGACAGGGAGTATTGTCTTACGGCCCCACTGGGAGAAGCTTTGTTCTTTTCGGTGTTTCCCAGATGGTTAATCGAAAATAAATCGATGAAGAGCTAAAACCAATAGTGGGATTATGGTATTGTAATTTTGAAGTGAGATTATACAAGTCGTCTGTGCTGTTGGGAAAATATGCGAGATCATTTGTCGGACTGTGTAAATTATAGAATTTAGAGTTTCACGCAATGGAGCTTTCTCAATTAGCAGTCATTTGTCTAAATAGCTGTAGTAAAGTCTAGACAGATGGATGGACTGGAGCTTAGTGTAACGTGTAAATTGGCATAAAATTACAACCACTTATCAAGGAATATACGAGGACTTATAGTATTTATTTGCATGACTTAAATCCCAGAATAACATATAATAATTAGTACATTTCAGCAAACAACTGGTTTAACATATTTATATGATATTTTCGTAAAACTTGACTGCCTAAAATGTCTTACGAATCTAAGTTATTTGACATATATTATAAGGCAACATACTGTATGGTCTCCCGGTGCCACGGTGGTGGCCCAGCTACGTTTAGTTTACCATACATGAAGTAGACTATACAATCAAAACCACACATGAAACTGGGTTTTGAAATAAAAACAGTCAATAATTGGGAACAAAGGAATGAAACATTATTGTCACTACATAAATGCGTCGGGAACAGCGGGTCGTCATATCCTAAGGAGGAGCAGCAGAAGCGACGACAACATGGGGACCAGCTTGGAGGAGCAGCTCGGCGCCGGGTCGACGGGAACCTGGTTCTCATGTGTGTTTGTCAGAGTACCCCGTAGGGTACCAGGAGTGGTGTGGGACATTGGCCGGCCTCGTTCAAGCACACTGTTCGACAATTCTTCGTCCTGTTCACGCTCAGCAGACCCGAACTGCTCGTTATAGTCTTCCTCGTCCATCGAGAGACTGGACACTCGGGTCGGGCCTGCAATTTCTGCAACACCCCCGGATAATCAATCACCACCTAACTACATCGAAAAGTACTCTCGCATAATCAAACAAAAAACTAAAAAACATCAACTCACCGGCACACCCTGACTTACCAATCAACACTTACCAAACCTAACTGCTAATGATAATTAATTAACTGAGAAACTTTTCAACAGTATAAAAACGATACAGTATTAGACTTTCTAATGAATTTAAAATTGACGTCTACCTCAAGCCATTTTCTAATTACAAACAATTAAGTAAACGCAATTATACTTCTAAAACAGATTAGTGCTGCATAGAATTATACTAACTCACTTTGGTCATACTTTGGCAGTCGAAAGGTTTCGCATAACTACTTTACTTCAATTTGACTATTATTTACGTTGCTAAATGAGAAACACTGTTTGTTATTACGTTCAAACGTTGCCATAAATAATTTATTTTAATTAAACAACGCCAAAAAATAAAATGCCAAGCTTTTCTTTTAAATGTTTGAATCAAACATCCTTGTAGTTTGGATAGTGGTTAATTTAGTAAAATCGGTTGAGTTAATTTAGGGATTATCTAACTGGCGCGCAGATTACCAGCTTCACCAATTATTATTGGTGTATAATTGAAATATGTCGTAATCGCTTTGACTGTAAAAGTTGTTTATGTTGTTATCAGTCAAGTTGTTTTTTTCTTCGTTGTTTTATAAATCGCAAACATTTATTGTGTTTGAAACAACTAACACATGACTGTAAACCCCTATTAATTAAGTTAGAAAATCTCGCATTTGTAGTGTGTGTGAAATACACAAAAAGCTCGCTCGAGAGTCATGTTACAAGAAGATTTACAATAGTAAACTAAAGGGACGTTATTTAAATAGTGCATTGTCAATTTGAGCCTTGCAAATGAGGGTTGAAATTAATCATATTTTGTTTGACTTACCGTAGAGGCGAATGTTGCTCTCTACTTCTCCAAGTGAGTTTTTAGCGATGCAGCGATAGGATCCGGCGTCTTCTTTTTGAAAGTTCCGTACAATTACGGTCATTCGCACTTCAAATAGTGACTTGCTGACAAATTGAACGTCGTATTTATGGCTTGGAATCACCATCTCACCTGTAAAATGACATTTGACGTTCAGTCCATTACAAAGATGACCCGTGATAAAGACGGTTGATAGATTCTGGACAGGAGTGGCCTGTACTAAACTGATAATGGGACTGGATATGCTGAGCTTTAGCTTCCTGCACATGATTAATGAAACTGCTACTTAATTCTATCCTGTTAATTCTTAATGCGTCACGTCCGGGCTGATGCTTGCGATATGACCGTTTCGCTGTTGTCGGTTACGCATCAAACCCTTAATTTCGGTAATTGATCTTATGCTGAATTCTCTTGACGGGATTTATAAATTCCGACTAAGAAGTCATTTATCACTCGTAAATGCCCGACTTCAACTGCATCTAGCTCCATTTTTTCATCAGCATGCACTAACAAACCGAATTTCCCTACTCCGTAAATCTGCGCCGAAATGAAATTGGTATTACGGCGAATGAAATTGTTTTATTGTGCGACTGTATATCATGCGTTCTAACTTATAAGTGGCATATATTTAAATAATTAACTTAGTTTAGCACGGTGAGAAGTAGCGACTAGTTAGCAAGTTAGAAATGAAGTTAGACGTACCGGTATCTCGCACCCAGTAGTTGATGGATTTAGGGGAAGCCTCTACATAACACTCTAATGTCACATCAGTTCCCAATGGCGCTCCCACCAATTGATTCGGTACTTGTATTACCGGGTGGACTGGAACAATTAGAAATGTTAACACAACAACACGCTGACATGTGTTCTGATTGCAGTATTCAAACCAGACAGCCTCACTGCATTTTATTCAAAAAGAATTTTTTACTTAATACAAAAAATGATCCTAAATTTTAACCTTGGGGAGCTTTGAACGCAATAAAAGCAAAATCGGATGAAACATTCATTCTTTAAATTCTTGAGAGAATAATCAATACTACATTTTACAAATATTTTATCTTTAATTTAATACACTAATACGGCTACTTTTGCCAAACGTTTTTTTTTATATATGAACTCATTAGTTTCTGATCAGTGTATTAAATATTTTCAGCATTATGACATGGGATTTTACATGGACCCCAAATATGCAAAGCATTTGCAAATATTTACTTTCATAATTTGTTAATGTACTCATTTAAACGTTTCAAAAGTTTCTTTATTTTACAATTCAAATTACATATAAATCAATAAGTATGATCTCATTTATAAACTAATATAGTAGTAAGTTTATTATTGCATGTCAGCAACAATGATATCCATTTGTTGAGTTTCCTCATTGAGCACCAAGGATCAATATGGTATTATATGCATGTGCAATTACAGTCTGGCAAATATTAGGTGAGCAAAACTTCAACAAGTCAATTGTTTTACACCTACTTGTGCTGCAACATATTTACTGTGAACTTAGTTTTCAAATTTTTTTTTGCTTTTTAAAAAATAATTTCATTAAAATTGTAAAATGTAAAAAAGTAACATTAGCCATGCAAAAATAACGATTTGTTTGAAAGTGTTTAATAGTTGAAATTGTGGTATAATAAAGGAATATCAGTCTGCAAACGAGATACTTACAATTTACATTGACCATAATCCTCTTGCTAACGGTCGGAGGAACTCCGTTTGAAGCTATGCACATATATGCGCCCATTTCGGAACGTGATATCTTCACAAGAAGTAACACTTCGCCTTGATAGGAGGAAACTGAAATACATACAGTACAGTGGGCTTTCGTAAAAGTGGCTTTCAATATCAAGCTCGGTTAGTCGTCCGTAACATTCGGGCGATCATCCTTGAATTTTACAAGCTGTAGATGCGATGTGACAAATTGGGCATTGACATTGTTCCAGCTTGTATCTCACGGTTATCAGTAGTCCGAAAGCGCTCATCTTCTTTACGATTCCAGCACTCGCATCTGTAATTCTGCTAACACTTGAAGATTGCGAAATCGCGGACCATAAAACGAATGTAAAATTTACCTTGAAAATGTCACAGTTTCAGTATTCGGGTTACACAAAAATCACTCATGATACATTTGCAGTCATTTTGGTAGAAGCAATTTATCACACTAACGATTTCCCGTACATGCGTATTTTTCATAAGCAGCCTAGGGGCATGCATTACTTTGTGGGGCACAATGTAGTTGATTCGAAAGGGAAAAACTACTGGTTCTTATCAAGCAAGTCGTAATATTTTCTAGGAAAAAACTTGTTTCTGTATACTATATAAACACAAAGATGACCGCAGCTTTGAAAAGAAATAGTCACATTTTCCTTTTAACAATCACCTTCACGTTCGATATCGGTGCTGCTTGAGGCCGCTTTCATTGATCTTACCCAAGCAATATACTTAGGGTGGCACAATAATAGGTATTGTAAGATTCAAAAAAGGGATCTTGAGTATTCTCAGGAGCGCAATAGCTTTGAGCAATAACATGTCGATCGGTTAATATGAACAAATACAGCCACTCCACACGTGTTATTATTTTCAAAGCTTGCACGATTAGCTTTTTGATTTTAAAAGTTGCCACAGTTGATAATTAATTGTAACTATTGCTCAAAACAATTATTTCATACATCGTTCATCATACAAAGTCGGAAAAGATTTGTCACAACTTTTAAGCTTTTTATATTAACTCCCAAGCTCATAAAAGTAGCTCGAAGAATTCAATATTACCGGATCAACGGACTTATTTAGCTCGGATTTGATAATAAAGAAATCAAGTAAGATTTTACCTTTAGTGCGAGCTCCCGTGGGCTCTCTTATTATAATATCGCTACCATCTTCCCGTCGCCATTGTACATGTGGTTCTGGATGGCCCCGTGCTCGACAAGTCAACTTTACGGTCCCACCTTCGGGTACCATTACGTCTCCGGAAGTTTCCTCGGGAATGAAATCGGGAGGAACGACAACGTCCAGAAAGCCCAGCTATAACACTTGATACTCTTACATTTTTACAGCAACGAATTATATTCCCCTAACTCTACCACTTTTTCACGACTTTTCACATTATAAATTTCGAATGAAATTGTTATTTTGCCAAACTCAAATACACTTACACCACATTAAACCAAATCAACTGTTTAAATGCAATATGGAAAACTTTTACAAGTCTGAGATAACTTGCACGGCCATTTGTCTCCACTGAAACGTAAGTGGCTCCTAGCCACTGTACTGCCTGACATGATAAAGTTTACGACTCAAATTATGTTAAATAAAACCCTGCAAGTATTATACACACTGTGGAATTATTATTTAAAAGTTTTTGAAGTTTCAGAGGTTAAGCAAAAATAGTTTTTAATTATACAAAAGCAGTGACGCTTCGATCAGGGTGTTAAACTGGTTAAGTATTTTTTGCGGAAATACGGTGCTTGAGTGAAAATTAGTTTTTCGCGTCGATCAATAAGATTAAGTTAGCGTCAATGTCTAATTTTTATGTTAACATGTCCTCTTTATATAGCATAATTTAGTAATGAATTAGCGCAAGGGATCGTTTCTCTGTGTGATAGCAAAAAGTTGTGAATGCAGGGAAAGAAAATATTAAAAATGATGGGTGGTGCAAATAAAAAGGTTAAGCCTTAATTATAAAAAATTAACGTATCCTTTGGGCGTACATTATTAGGGTAAATTTTTCTTGTGCGAAGGGCTTTTGTTTGAGTAGTTTACTTTGGTAAGTAGAGTAGGGTAGCGGAATGAGTTATAATACTCTACCTTTTTGTGTTGGGTCTCATTATTCAAATATTCTCTTCACGCCAAATTCTTAAATGCATTAGCATCTAAAAACATGTTAAGTAACTCACTACAAGGAGATAATGTTAACTACGACATTTATTATATTCACTAAATGTGATTTGCAACACAAGAAATGCTTCTCTCGCTGAAACCTAAAACTTTTCTTCTTTTAACCAGTTTAGAAAGATAAAAAATACAATTAAACATGAAAATATGAAAAAACCGTTTTATTTTGCCCTCATGGGGGGTACAATTAAGTCTCACATCTAAAACCATAACTTGGATGATGAACATTTTGTTGAATATCCGCTTCGGTATTTTCTTTTAATACAATCTGCAAACGGACAAAAACGTGGTTTTGCATTTCTCTATGAGAAACAGCACCTGCGAGACGCACAAATTTTCATCCCGAATTTATGTTGTTACACAAGTTGTAATGAATACGAGATACGTCTGTAACATATTCTAAAAATACAAGACGGTATTTTTAGGTAAATTAATATAAACACCTTGTTTAAAAAAATATCTTAATGGTGATTAATTAAATCGGTTTTTATCGGTTACTTTAACTGAACTGGTTAAGCGCTCTGATTCGCCTGGTTTTCAAAACGAGTTTCAAACCGGTTTAAAATCAATTGTTCAACTTTCAATTGGCGATTATGCGTTGATGTTTAGTGATGTAAACTTATCAGTAAAACACCTTGTTGGTGCACTTTCAAGCAAAATTCCATTATTTAAAATAAGCCTTTCAAACGGGTGAGTTAAGCAATGACAGTTAGTGCCGTAACACGGTGTCAGGGGCTTTTTGTCACTCTAAGCTTTTATTCAGTACCGTTAAAACAGGAGTAAGTAGCGTGCTATGTGATAGCGGTTCATTAGTTTCAAATTCATTGTGATTTATAAAATCGAAATTTAATTTAGGGTAGAAATGTATTTATAAACGCGTAAATAATGTGCATATTAATTTATTATCAGGTAATGCGATTTTATGTAAAACCTATTGTTAGACGTAATTAACAAATGAAGCCATCCAAAAACAAGTGATAAAATATGTGACAAAAGACGGCTTTTCTGCAATGAGCTATAATAATAGATGTAGGTACTAAGTTAATTTATAGTCCTGCGTTGATTGAGAGAGTTTGGTGGTCACTGCCACTGATTGGCTTGGGTGTCGGGTCTCCATCGTCTCATCCCTTTCATTAAACATAGAACTTATACGGCGAACACATACTCAACACACATGGAAACTTGAAACGCTTCCTTAGCTAACTTATAATGAAGCTTATTTATTAGCTCTTCTCATTTAACTTTTTGGCAATACAATGCATTTTTCTTTGCAAGTGTGAAACAACTAAATAAAAATTGAAATCTAAAGTTTTAGTAGGTTTTGAATAAATTTTATTATAGCCATTATTATGATTTGTATCGATTTTATTAAAACCATTTGTAGTGGTAGAATGAGGCGTAGAGTAAACGTTGATTAATCTCGAGTATCTTAAAAGATTCATTGTTGAACTGGGTAGTAATGAAGTGTTTGGTTTCTCTTGCATTAAACAAAAAAAATAATAAAAAGCAAAACAGTAAACACTTGTTATTAGAAAATTAAAATACAAAAACCTATCAGTGTACAAATGGTGCATGCGCCGGGATAGTTATCACCGATTACACAAGGCGACAAAGAAAAGTCATGTCGTGACAACTTGATAAATTTTATATCATTTTGTTCGTCTCAGTAAGAGAAATCAAATGCACTAAATAAATTTCAAAAAGTCCACACACTTTGAACTACATAATTTTTTTCTAATTTAAATGAATTTAAAATACTTAAACTTTAAAAAATTATTACTCAAAAACTATTAGGTCGATTTTCTTCAAATAAAGACCATTTTAAAGGGATGGACTTGCCCTTTAGAATGATATGCAACAGTGTTCGAAGAAGTTCGAAGTAAATCGAAGTAATCTAAGAAAAACCCTACGAGAAAATGTTTTTTTCTTCGTCACCATCATGTAGAGCATCTTTTTATTAATAAGAATCCAAATTTTTAAAATAGTATACGGGGTAGTTTTTAAGATATGATTTTTTGAAGTTAAGGTTTGCTATTCAGGTATTGCGCCATATAGGAGAAATGCATGTTAATCTTACTTAAAATTGCATTTCTATAAAAGTATTTGTTTTAAGACTCTTCTTTTGCTTAAAAATGGTCAATTGCATGTTCTTTGTTCTAATTAGAATAAACAAAAACTGTTTCTTTACTTAAAACAAACAAAGAGTACCTGCGTATTAATAAAACCAAATAAAGAGTTTTTTTTGTTGCAAAAATGATCATTGATCATTGAGCAAAAAGGATTTAGAAGTTTAAAGCAGTAGCTTTATATATAAGAACAAATCCTTTTCAAATTAAATCACTTTCCATTCAGATTCCAACTTGTTCACTTTGTTCGAGCTTTCTGAACTTTTTTTTAAAATGTTTTGAGCAAATGCTTTATCATCACTTTCTACTGATGTTGAATGCAATAAGTCAGTTGCTTCGTGTGCAACTGTTATCACAACGACTACTGACTACAAGCTAACTGAAGCTAATCGTAGAATGTATCACAACGACTACTGTTACGACAATGTTATCACAACGACTACTGACTACAAGCTAACTGAAGCTAATCGTAGAATGTACCAACAAAATAAATCAGGTGACTTATTGCATTTAACGTCACTTGAAAGTGATGAGAAAGCATTTGCCAGAACATTTTCAAAAAAAGTTCAGAAAGCAAGAACAAAGTGAACAAGTCGAAATCTGAACGGAAAGTGATTTTATTTAAAAAAGATTTGCCGTTATATTTAAAGCTCGTACCTTAAAATTCTAGATCCTCTTTGCTCAATGATCAGTGGTCATTTTTACAACAAAAAAACTCTTTATTTGCTTTAATTAGTACGCAGGTACTCTTTGTTTGTTTTAAGTAAAGAAACAGTTGTTGTTTATTCTAATTAGAACAAAGATGGTGCAATTGACCATTTTTAAGCAAAAGAAGAGTCTTAAAACAAATACATTTATAAAGATGCAATTTTAAGTTTAACATGCATTTCTCCTATATGGCGCAATACCTGAATAGCAAACCTTAACTTCAAACAATCATATCTTAAAAACTACTCGGTATATTATTTAAAAAATTTGGATTCTTAGTAATAAAAAGATGCTCTACATGATGGTGACAAAGAAAAAAAAATACTCGTAGGGTTATTCTTAGATTACTTCGAAAGTTAGCCAATATTCAATTTCAAATTGCATATCATTCTAAAGGGCAAGTCCATCCCTTTAAAATGGTATTTATTTGAAGGAAATCGGCCTAATAGTTATTGAGTAATAATTTTTTAAAGTTAGAGTATTTTAAATTCATTTAAATTAGGAAAAAAATATTTAGTTCAAAGTGTGGGGACTTTTTGAATTTTTTTTTAGTGCATTTGATTTGTCTTACTGAGACGAACAAAATGATATAAAACTTGTCAAGGTGTCACGACATGACTTTTTTGTCGCATTGTGTTATAAGTTTGACAAAGTAAACAAGAATAAAAATTATTTAAAACAAAAACAAACATTTTTAAGTAATATTTACCAAAAGTTTTGTGCTTATCCAAAAGTGAATGAAGCGATGACGGTTCAAACTCTCTTCATCTTTGTAGAAGACTTGATGTTTATTACTTTAAACTTAATTAAAATTATGTTGTTACTATATCTTGTTTAAATGTTCAAAGTCGTGAAAAAATGTAATATCAAAATTTATTAAAAAAATTATTAATTATAGAACGATAAATATTTAAAATAAATCACAGTATGATACAAAAATAAGGCTACACTTGACATTTTCTTCTAGAGTCCATAGTTTACTTGAGCGGGTTGGTTCTGCTGAAAACATGCAAAACAGGTGAAAAACTGTTATTTTAGTAGCCTAAATTACAAAAACACTAATATCAATTCTAGTATTTCAACATTCTCGGATTAGGTTTGCCATGACCGGGTAACATTTGTATAATTTTGAAGATTTTATGGAGTTGTAAACTTAATGTATGTTTGTTATGTACCAGCTGAAAGTTTCTGAAAATAATTCCATATTAGTCAAAATTACCTTGGAAAGTCGTAAGAATAATATTACTAAGCTAATGGTAAGACGTAAAATAGCAAAATCAGTGAGTTTCTTCAAGTTCATATTGATAAGAATTTACATTATACATGAATTTAAAATAAGTTTTATATAACT